GTTGGCCCAGGCAGTTTTTTGGTACTCCTAAGGGGCGCTCGAGGACGCTGGAATTCCTTCCTGGGCCTGATCCTGGAGGCGATCCAGAATCTGCTGCAAACTCTGGGCCTATTGTGATGTGGATCGCGGCGTTGCAGAAGAGCTGGGCCCCCGAGTTGCACCTTAAGACTTGCTATGAGAATTTTCAAGCCGTTCCTGGCCGAGGATGGGGACACGTACAAGGACCCGCTGGCGCAGTAGTGTGCACACTGGATAGACTAGGCTGGACCATCAAGTCTTGGTATTCCTGGGAGACGGACCAGGGGCTCCCTGTGAGCCCGAGGTACCACAGCAAGAGGACGTTCAAGAGCGTCATCCAGGCGAGCACCCAGCGCTGCCTCATCAAGAGTTTAGGGGGACCCCAAGGCAAAGTCGAAGGCCTACCAGGTGCACCCTGCTTGGAGCCGCTAGTCGCTATGTGCCGAGACCTTCGATCGCATGGCCGAGGTGATTCGGCAAGCAGGCTTGCAATTCTAGTTTCAGGAGGCCACGTGACCCAGCACGAGCTTTTTTTTGACAGAAGAGTTGTTGACGGCCATTGCCAGTGGCGCAAGCGTGCGCTGGGCACCAAGTCTCACAGAATCTACGACTGCGATGCGCAGATGCTCTTCTTGAGTAGCCTGGGTTTGGACGAACACCTCGATGAAGCAAGACGTGCTGATGAGTATGACGCAGGCTACACAATATGCTTTTTTGAAGGTCCTGAATGGCAGTGGCCAACCCCGTTCATCAAGGCGGAGCCTAGATGGAGTTGCGTCCCACCATCTGGACTGCTGGACTCAGGCTACATGTGTCTTGGCGGCTCGGGTTTGGACCAAGATAGTATGGCGTTTGCTCGAGCAGGGTATGCAGTCGTGGGGCTAGCTGAAGGGGGTAACATCCACGGCAGTTTGTACGGTCCTCTCCCGCACCTCTTGCAGCTTGCAGGGTGTGGAGAAGTGCATGCGCTGCTGGTTGCTCTCAGGCATATGGGTACAACCCCGACGATAATTGCCACCGACTGTAAGATGGTGCTCGACATTTGGAAGGCTGGACCAGGACAAGATTTAACGAATACATGTGTTTCTGAATTGTGGCACGATATCTTTCGGGTTGCAGATGACATCGGAATATCTAATATTAGTTTGGCCAAGGTGAAATCGCATTTGAGCCGCACGGCGGCACTGGATGCAGGAATGAGCTACTGGGCTTGGTTCGGAAATCGTGGAGCTGACAGACTTGCCAAAGTCGGAGGCAGTGCCCAGGCTAATCTTCCTTATGTGCGAGCCCAGTATGACCTAGTTGCTCGTAAAGTGAGGATTTCAGCGATCGTGGTCTCGGGGGTCCTCGACCGTCTCGCCAAGCAGAACTTCCCAGATGTCATGAAATATCGTAAACCCGTACGCGCTAAACCCGCACTGCTCGAACTGATTCCAGATCCCTTAGGCCACCAGCTAGCCAGAGTAGGGAACGGTTTCATGTGCGTTCGGTGTGGGGACAGGGGGGCTTCGCGTAAAGCTACATGTGTTACCCCTTGTTCTGGACTCCCTAGAGCTTCCCGCACCTCCCACCCTTCCCATACTCTGTGCGTGGGGCTGGTAAGGTGACTTGGTGTGTCAAATGCGGAGCTTTTGGGAGTGCGAGGTCCAGGTTGTTGCAGGACAGATGTCTGAATTGACCTCGGAACAAGGACGCTGGACATTCCCTTGCCCTGCTGAAGCAGGGAATCGACCCGTCCAGCGGCAAGTTTTTCGGTCAGAGCTTCCCTGTGGACAAGCTGCTGGCTGAGGCTCCGCCGCCGCCCCGAGGCCGCTGAGCTCGCCAGGCAGCCTAACGTGTCTTATGTTATTTCTCTTTGTTGCGGGATTTCATTCCATTTGTTGTTGTACAGGAGGTGACTCTCTCCTGACGCCGAAGGTCGCCGAAGGAGGAGGAGGAGGAGGGAGGAGGAGGGGATATAAGCAGGAGCGAGGAGGAGGAGGAACAGGAGGAGGAGCAGGAGGGAGGAGAGAGGAGGAGGACGGAGGAGGAGGAGGAGGAGGTGGTGGAGGAGGAAGAGGCGGTGGGAGTGGAGGAGGGGGAGGAGGAGGAGGAGGAGGAGGAGGAGGAGGAGGAGAGAGGAGGAGGAGGGGGAGGAGGAGGAGGAGGAGGAGGAGTAGGAGGAGGGGGAGAAGGGAGGAGGAGGAGGAGGAGGAGGAGGAGCAGCAGCGGAGGAGCAGGAGGAGCAGGAGGAGCAGGAGGAGCAGGAGAGGAGCAGGGAGCTGAGAGGAGCAGGAGGGGGGGGGAGGAGGCGGAGGAGGAGGAGGAGGAGGAGGAGGAAAAGGAGGAGGAAAAGGGAGGAGGAGGAGGAGGAGGAGGAGGAGGAGGAGGAGGAGGAGGAGGAGGAGGAGGAGGAGGAGGGGGAGGTGGAGGAGGAGGAGGAGGAGAAGGAGGAGGAGGAGCGAGGAGCGAGGAGGAGGGGGGGGAGGAGGAGGAGGAGGAGGAGGAGGAGGAGGAGGAGGAGGAGGAAGAGGAAGAGGATGATGAGGAGGAGGAGGAGGAGGAGGAGGAGGAGGAGGAGGAGGAGTACGAGGAGTCGGGCCCCTACTGCGTCGCTATCCCGTTTTTCCCTTTTTCGCCCTGCCCAGTGCGCCCTCCGTCCCCGCTGCTTCCCCCCCTTGCTGCCCGCTGCCTGCGAGCTCCGCCTCGCGGTCCGCCTCGCCCCGCACCCTGCCGCCCCCCGTTCCACCGTCCTCCCACTCTCCAAGGCCGCGCTAACGGCGATGTTGCCTAACGGCGATGTTGGGAATCTGATGTTCGTGACGCCGAGCTCGCGCAGAGCAAACATGGAAGCCATCGCGAACCACACTTTTCTCTACATGTCACATGTGCGAAAGATCTGAGCGACAACGACGCAGCGAATCGTGGGAGAGCTCGAACCACCATGTCCTATCATTGGACCGGCCACTATCATAACAATATTGACGCAACCCGAACCGCAATTGTGACCAGTCCAGTTTTGTAAGAGAACCGTCCCTATGGATGACACAAACCACACAGCTTCACGGAACCCATGCCGACGCCATCTGTATCAAGGCATCCTGACCAGAAGGGGACATTACCAAGGGCGCCCTCGAGGGCGCGAAGTTACTCGCGTTTCGCGGTTCGGCTCCGAGTCCTCCTCTTCCCCCTCTTTGCCCCTGGGAGGCGGCGCGAGAGAGCGCGAAGCCATTCGCACGTCGCGCTCCCCGCGCAGCGCGCAGCGCGCAGTTGGGAGCCCTTGATTACTACACATACTCCCGCGAGCCAGCCCGAACGCTACATCGCCGTTGCCTGCACTGCCGCTCGCGCGGCCGCGGCCCCTCTCCTCCAGAGCGGTGCCGCTCTGCCGGCAGGGCCCCGCCCCGGTCGACGGCGCCGCTCCGCGCGCGGCGACCCGCGCCTGCCCTGCCGCGCAGTGCCTGCGGTCGGCGGGGCGGCCCGGGCCTCGCTCGCGGTGGCTGCTTGAGGCACCTCCTCGCCTCCCGCCGCCTCCTCGCCCTCCGCCTCCCCTCCCCTCCCCCTCTCCCTCCCCTCCCCTCTCCTCCCCTCCCCTCCCCTCCCCTCTCCTTCCTCGCCCCCCGCCGCTTCCTCCCCCCCCCCCTCCCCGACCTCCCTCCCTCCGCCCGCCCCTCTCGCGCCTCCTCGCGCGCTCTTTCTCCGGCCCATCTTCTCCTCCTGCGTGCCGCGGGACGAGGCCGCCGACCTTCCCAGTGTCGCCCTCCACGGCGGACAGGCGCCGCACGGCGAAGGCTCCGCGCACCCCGACGCGGCGTGCCGGCGCGACGGGGGTTGTCCCCCGTCGGGGGATATCCCCTTCACGCTTGTTGCACACCCCCCCTAACGTGTACTACCCACCTAACTAACGTCACCCCGACCTTGGTGACATCGAGCCCGGCCCGCGCGGAGCGGGACGTGACACCTGCGTGCTGGCGGCACGCTTGTCTCGGAACGGTCCTCTGGCCTGTGGGTGGGCCACATCTCTGCTTCAAAGTGTTGTCGCCTAGGCGCTCCTTCATTTTGAGCATGCCACTGTAACCCCCGGGGCGAAGAACGGTACTACGGCATAAGATACATTCTCCGCCACAGGGGCTTTTCTTGTGCCAGGACGGCTGGGGAGTTCCTACCGTCGCACGCCGCCGTGCGGGTATAGATTTCCAAGCCCTTTGGGACAAGCGCCCCCGATGGCAGGAGAGTTTATGTTGCACCATTCTTCGTGCGTTGGTGGATGCGCTGTCCTTGGTTCCTCTCCCCCCTTCCCCCTCTTCGTCAGGACGCAATTCCTGGGAGACCAAACTCAGCTTCGGCGCTGGTGTATCCGTGGTCGAAAGACGGCCTGCCTCGGCACAACCCTGTTGAATCCCTGTTTAAGCCCGCTTGCTCTTGCTTATTCGGGTGCATTATTGCGCCTGATCTTGGCTAATCCAGCTGAAGTCGAAGAAGAAAACAAAAATTAGCATAAACACAATTTTTTGGCGCTCCGTGCTGATTTGTTGGATCCGCGCATGGGCCCCCAGCGGCGCCTCTGGCGCCGCCCCTGGCGCGCTCCGCGCGCCAGGGAGGGGGGTTCAGCGCGAATCCAAGAAATCCGCGCGGAGCGCCAAAAGTTCATGTTTTCGTGATTTGTTCTTCGATGCAAGGCCGCTCACTTTGGCTTCGTGGTTCTTGGTCGTTGTTGCGAAGACCTCCCAGGAGCTGCCTCCTGAGCCCTCCCCCGCCTAGGGGGCCCCGGAAACGACAGGGGCGTTTTTTCACCGCTTCCAAGAACATACCGCAAGAAACGGCGACCGGAAACAGCAGAAAAACGGCTCCAGGATTGGAACCGGAGCCGGAACGGGTCAAAGAACGGCGACGGAACCGGTAAGAAAACGGCGTCGGAACCGGCAAACAAAATTGCAAAACGGAACCGGTAAAAAAACGGTCCTGTCGTTTCCAGGGGGCCCCCGCCCCCGCCTCCGTGCCAGACGAGCGCCAGCCCCCTCCGCCAGGAGGTCGCCCAGAGCCTCTTCTCGCCCTGCGACGCGGGCTCCCCGGCGGCGCACAGCGCCGCGCCCTTCTTGGCCCTGCCCTCTGCGCGCGCGCGGGGTCGAAGTCGGTCGACCGTTGCCGCCGTGGGCGGTGCCGTCGGTCGCCGTCGGCACCGCCGTCGGCGGCAGCCCGTGGCGGCGAAGGCACCGATGCCGCTGCTCATTCCGGGAGGGCCTCGTCGCCATGGCTGGATTCTCCTCGACTGTCTGGTCAGCGCGCACCCCGGGAGAGGTCCGGGGAGTAGCGGCAACCGTATATGTCTATTCCCCCATCCTCCCTTGTCATCAGTCGTCGTCTTCGTCTTCGCATGTGTCGTCTGTCGTGCTTGCTCCGTCGTGCGTTGTCGTCTGGCGTCGCCGTGGTTGTCGTTGTACGTCGTCGTCCGTCGTTGTCGTCAGCGCCAGTTTCAGCGTCAACTGAGCTGCCGCCGTCGTCACCATTCGTCCATCGTCGTGGTTGTCTACCGCTTGTCGTCCTCGTCCGTCGTCCGTTGTCAGTCGTAGGCGTTGACGTGTGTGTGTATGTGTGTGTGTTGTCCGTGGCTGGCCGTCGGAATGGCGCTGCGGTGGACAGTCGAGCCCTCGCGGAGCGCCGGTTTATGTCGATTGCGAGTTCGGAGCACCTTCGCTGGAGGAGGACGAAATTGGCGACGGACGACGCTGGCGAAAGGCAACTGACGACGGACGGAACCGACGACCGACGACGCCGACGAAGGACGGACGCCGACGAGGGCGATTCTGGGAACAATCAATGGCATAAACACAAATTTCCGAACGTCCGACATGCTTCATGTTGACTTCATCAGCTGTCCCTCGACCGACGGACTACGACGACGGACGCCGCCGACGACGGACGAAGGACGACGACGACGAACGACAGACGACGACGAAGGACGGACGGCGCCGACGACGGACGACGCCCCCCCTTGCAAAGAGCCCAGGTGAAGTCCGCGCTGCGGCTGGCAGAGGCCGGCGAGCCAGAGGCCTCCTCGGCTTGGGCGTTGCGTCGTGGGAGGGGGTCATAATGGGGGGGGGGGGAGCGAGGGTGGTCCGAGAACGTAGCCAGACGGTGACGAAACGAGCCCCCCTGGGGCTCTGGAGGGGCGCGAAAGGGGACCGTTTTTGACCCCTCGTTTTATGCCCCGGCCATTGAGCTACGACCAATCGGCGGTCCGCGCGGCGCGCGCGCGCGCGGCGAGTCGGCGCAGCGGCGGCCTCGCGCGTCGCCGCCGGCGTGCGTCGCGGTCGCCGCCGCGGTCGCGCCTGGGCGCGGCTCGTCGTGCGCGCGCGTCCGGGGCAGCGTTGGCAGGGGCGCCCTCTGAGGGCGCGAAGCTCTTCGCGCTGCGCGCTGCGCGGTTCGGCGCCGGTTCCTCCTCGTCCTCCTTCTCTCCCCTGGGAGGCGGCGCGGGAGCGCGAAGCTATTCGTACGTCGCAGAGCGCGAAGCGCAAAGTTGGGAGCCCTTGGTTGAGGGGGGGATCGGGGTAGGAGTAAGTCGGGCGTGTCCCTCTACAGGAGGACTGTTCAAACATTGCAGAAAGAACAGTCTGGGGACGATTCTTCTACAGGAGGAGGAGGAGGAGGAGAAGGAGGAGGAGGAGGAGAAGGACGAGGAGGAGGAGGAGGAGGAGGAAAGAGGAGAGGAGCCTTTCGCGAAAAGGTTGGGATTTCGGTGACACTGCATTGAACAAGTCAAGACATCGGATCCCTGGGGCACACGGCGTGCCCCTCGGCATACCACCGAGGCTTGCCGCCCGAGCAGGCGAGCGGGCTCCCCCTCCTCCTCCTCCTCCTCCTCCTCCTCTCCTCCTCCTCTCCTCCGCCTCCCCCCCCTCCTCCTCCTCCTCCTCCTGCCTCCTCCTCATCTGCTCCTCCTCCGCCCCCTGATCCTCCCCTCCTCCTCCTTCCTCCTCCTGCTCCTCCTCCTCCTCCTCCTGCTCTCCTGCTCCTCCTCCTCCTCCTCCTGCTCCTCCTCCTCCTCCTCCTCCTCCTCCTCCTCCTCCTCCTACGTGCCCCTGCGTGTCCGATCGACGCTGTGGTTTCGGACACCCCCGCCAGGGCTCGCCTGGCTGCAGGCGTTCTTCAGATGCCATGGCGCCAACACTGCACAGCGGGCTTCGATCGGAAAGCGACAGGATGGGCCCGGAGTGTCCTGAGGAATGGCGTTCTGGATTACGAGGTCAATTTCGTGCGGATTGTGCTCGACCAGGGATGAGGACCAAACAAACATCCACGCGAAATCCACGTCGTTTTTCACTTATTGTTTCGGGGTTTTGCACTGGCAGAAATCCACGCAAAATTCGCTGCAGCACGTCTGCAAGGTCGGTGCAGCGACAAATGCTGAGCCCCGTCCAACTTTTCTGACATCTGACCTGCAGGCCCAGACATCCTTTCGCTCCGAGTCGTTCGATGCGGGGGGGGCCCGGAGGTCTGGGCAGCTTCCCAACGGCCAGCTTTTCGTCCCGAGCGTTGTTTCTGACAGTCTCGGGGCCCCTTTGAGGGCCTCCATGAGGCCCAACATGGCCAGCAATTGGCCGCTCCAATCGTTTCGGAGTTTCGGATCTCTGGGGGAGTAGGGCTTGCAGGCTTCGGGTGTTGCTAGAAGTGCCCCTGGCCCAAGGTGCCCCTAGAACTTCCATGGAGGACCCCACGGCCTCCAGAGCACCCCTCACGAGGCCCAGAGTGCCCCAGGGGCTCCAACATGGCGCCTAAAAGCTGGGGGCACCTTGGCCCATGAGCACCTGTAGCAATTCCCGAACATGTGGTTGCCTGGCGGTCGTGTTTTTTATTCGTTGTTTTGCCGATCGACGCGGGCCCTCGCACCCCCCCCTCCCCCCCCCATCCCCTCCCCCATGGAGCAGATCTTGGCGGCTTTTTGGCGCCTGTTTCGAGCGGGTGGAGCCTCTCCCAGAGGCAGCACTCTTACAAACAGTCGCACTATTTAAGCAGTGGTCTGGAGGCAGACCCCCCCCCTCCCCCCCCCCTTCCGTCCAAATGTCGAAACGCCGCACAGAAAAAAACGCCCACCTGGCCTTCCTGTCCTGTCCCGCCCCCTCCGTTTGCTGGCACCGCGCGCGCCGCGGGAGGCGGGCTCGCCGGGGTCGGGGCCCCCGCAGCTGGCGCAGGACCCTTTGCCGAGGGGGAAGGGGGGTGGTGCGAGATCAGAGGCAGCGCTGGGATTTAGTCGTGCGTGTCCCTCTGCAGGAGGAACATTCAAACATAGGGATCAAAAATAGTCGGGGGATGATTTTTCGCCAATTGTTTAATCTGTTGGGGGTATTTTGGGAGGATTTAAATTTTTCGTCCAAAATCCTCCTGCAGGAGGACGCGCCCGACCTAACGCTAGGGAGGGCACGGTGGGGCAGTGGTTGCGTTGGAGGAGGTCGATTGGGCCGGGTACGTCACGACTTGCTTTGCAAGCCGCCTCTGCTGACCTCTGCGCACCGGGTGCCGAGGAGGCACCGCACGTGCTGCTGGGGCCCGCTTGCGCCCAGGCCGCCTGGCGCTTCGGGCCCTCGAGGCCCAAGTCCTTGCCCAAGGAAGGAGGGGTTACGGTCAAGCGGGAGCCCGCTGAGGAGAGCATGCTACGCATGTGATGAAGTCGATGATGGTGGCCTGACCGACCCTTGGCAAATCGTTCCGTTCCGTAACGCCCCCTTCGCCTCGCCCCAAGACGTGTGAATGCGGCCGGAGGGAAGCTGGGTGAGCGAGGATGACGTCACGGAAGGGGATGGTTTGCGAGGGGTCGGTTAGGCCGTGCCCGATGCGATGAACGATGAGGCTATAATGCCTCTTTTGATTTTGAGCCGGCTATGATGTCCAAGCGGGCAGGCCACAGGCGGCGGCGTCACGCCCCCGTCGAATTTCTTCTGCATTGGTTGCGGCCAGCATCAAGCAGTGGCGAAGCGTCCCAGCTTGCCTATAGGCCTACCAAATAATGTTCTAAGAACCTTATGTGGTCTGCACAAGCTGTTCTTCGGGTTTATGTTCTAAGAACATTGTTATTGTTCTTAGATCATTCTTGGATTGTACGAACATCTCGTGATAGGCCTGCAGGAATGCCGGGACGGTCGGCCCCTGCTCAACAGCAGGACGGGGAGGGGGGAGGGCAGGTTCGAGGCGCTGGGTTCGGCAAGGTTTTTCGCCTGTGTCGGCTTCCGGGGGCCGTTTCCGAACGGCAGGCCCCGGGACCAGCACAACTGGATCCCGGTCGGGGAACCGATTTTGAGCGGATTTGACTTCATCCTGGCTTCCTCCTGGGGATCGGGTCCTGGAGGCTGGCTTGTTCTCGGCCTCTGCGGGCCCTTACCTGGGCCATGGAGCCACCGAGGATGGCAAGCTGGACCACGGGGATCTAGGCCTCCGACATGGGGTCGGAGTAGATGGGGCCGGAGGATCGTGCCGCATCGCCGATGCATCGGCGATGCATCGCTGATGTGGGGCCTACTTTCCGCCACGCCGATGTCGCTGATGCATCACCGACGTCGCCAGTGCATCGCCGATGCATCGGCGATGCGGCACGATCTTCCGGCCCCATCTACTCCGACCCCATCCAGGAGGCCTTTAGGGGAGTGCCCATGCGTCCAGGAACCGTTTCCCTCGAGTTGCTTTATCTTTTTCCACGGGCAAGTGGGAGGAAGGAAGAGTGGAGTCGAGCGGAGAGGAGTGGAGTGGACCCCGTTGCAGATGCAGGTGGTGAGAGGACGGAGGACAGGAGGAGGAGGAGGAGGAGGAGGACGAGGAGCAGGAGGAGCAGGAGGAGCAGGAGGTGGAGGAGGAGGAGGAGGAGGAGGAGGAGGAGGAGGAGGAGGAGGAGGAGGAGGAGTGTGTTGGATGGGGCAGGGACCCCTGTGGGGGGGGGGGGGGGCGGGGGGGGGGCGAGCGACGAGCTCCCACAGGCGTCTGGCGCCTACTCGCTGCCAGTGCCCACTGCACAAGACTGCGAGCTGGCACGCGAACGTCTAGCGAAGCCTCGGGGCGTAGCCTGGCCTGGCCCCCCTGGCGCTCTGAGCCTCGAAGAAGAACTAACGGAGCTCCGCGCGGGGCTCCGAAAGTGTGTGTGTGTTTATACAATCGTTCTCTTGTGTCTCTGGGCCCATGCCAGCCCAGACCATGCGATGTCCTGATTTGGTCCACGGGGTCAATGGAAGTCCCGATCCGTATCCGGAGATCCGTTTTTCATCCGGAGTCGGTGTTTGTCGGTCCTGGGGCCCAGTAAGGGCCCCCAGAGGCCTGAAACGGCCGCACATCTCCCGCTTCGATCGTTGCAGGACGCGAGCATCTCTGGGACAATTGTTTTCGACAAGGCCATCGCATGCTGGCAGTCCGTGGCGGCTGCACGGGTGCCCGGGCCCTCTGCGGCCCGAAGGGCCCGCGCTGCTGGGCCAGGTCGCCAGCGCAGCGACCTCGGGACGCAGCCCACGACGTCGACCGCGCACGATTTGGTCGCCCGGGCTGGGGGGGGGGGCGGGGTCAGGGAGGCTCAAGCTCAGAGGAGGAAAAGGTGTACCCCTACTGTTAAGTCGGGCCTGTCCCTCTACAGGGGGAATGTTCAAACATAGTCCAAAACTAGTATGGAGACGATTATGTGAGTGTGCCATTTTTGTGTTTTTTTCTGTTATCGCTTTTTAACACGAGTCTTAACTTGTCGCCCGAAATCCCCCTGTAGAGGGACATGCCCGACCTAATGCTACCTTTCCCTCGTTTTCGTTTCTGCTCGCCTCCTTGGAGCCCCCCGTCGCCACCTCTGGATTCGACTCGAGAGTCTTGACGCTTCGCGCGTCCCCGCCGGCCCCAGCCAGGCACGATCCGGAGGCGTTCGTGAGGCCTCTTGGAGGCGCTATCCTGAGCCCTGCTCGGCTAGAGGCTCTCGGAGGCTGTCTTGAGCCCTTCTCAGCTATCTTGGGCCATCCTGAGGCTGTCTTGAAGCTGTCTTGAGGCCTCTCGGATGTCGGGTGGAAGCTAGCTTGAGCCATGCTCGATCTCCTGGGACCACCTTGGGGGTAGGAGGAGGAAGATGAGGAGGAGGACTAGAGGAGAAGGAGGAGAAGAAGAAGGAGGAGAAGGAGGAGGAGGAGCAAGAGAGACGGAGGAAGAGGGGGTGAAGAAGAGGCGGAGGAGGAGGAGGAAGAAGAGGAGGAGGAATGCGGCACGAGGAAGATGAGGCGGATGAGGAGGGGGAATGAGGAGGAGGAAGAGGGGGGAGGAGGAGGAGGAGGAGGAGGAGGAGGGGGAAGGAGGAGGAAGAGGAGGAGGAGGGAGGAGGAGGCAGGAACATAGGAGGGAAGGGACGGACGATGACATCGAGGAGAGGTCGGGCTTTGGAGATACGTTGGTGTGAGAGGTTCTTGAAGGCCGATCAAGGCCATCCTGCGGCCTCTTGGGGCACTCTTTGGGCCCTCATGGGGCTCGTTTTGGAAGTCTTGGGGCCCTCTTGGGGCTCATCGGGGGGTCCGGGAGGCCTCTTGGGCCCCATGGCTCAGAAGGATGGGGGTTTATCAATATTCAGGTCCCCCCTCGGTGGCTCAAACATTGCCTTTGGGGGCCCTCTTGGGCCGCTCTTGGAGCGCTATTGGGCGCTCTTGGGGCCCTCTTTGGCCCCTTCATGGGCCTCTGATGGGCCGTCTTGGGGCCAGATTAGGCCTCAAAGCCTATCGGAAGCGAAAAGCGAGAAGGCACAGTCCATTGATGATCCCTAGGTTTCGGAGCTACTGTGGCCTCTTTGGGGGGGTCCTCGGAGGGCTCGGCGGGCACTGGAAACAGTATTGGGGCCATCTTGAGGCCTCTTAGGTGTGCGCCCGAGGCTACCTTGAGCCATCTTGAGGTACATTGACCCATCTTGGAGACCATCTTGAACTCGCGGCAGCCCTCTTGGAGCCATCTTGGATTTTAAAGCATCCTCTGGCACATGGTCCCCCCGCCCCTTCTAGGTCGGGGAAGGGGGAGGGGGAGGGGTCAAGCTACCCACCCGCCCGCACGCCGTCTAGCCCAACATACGTAACACCCGAGCCTGAGCATGTTTAGCGGTGGTCTTTGGATGGGCAGCCACTGGGAACCAAAACCGTCCCCATGTGCGCGACGCTAGGGCGATGTGCGCCACGCGTGCCATGAGCGCCATGCGCGCCAGGCACCCCTGGGGCCAGAGCGTGCCAGGCACAGCTCGTGCGCCGGATGCTCCGCGTGCGCCAGGTGTGCCGCATACCCCAGCTGCGCCAGGTGCGCCACGTTTGGGGCATGTGCAGAGTGTGTCAGGTGCGCCTGCGCACGTGACAACACACGTCGGGAAAAACGTCGCCGCCCCGCACCATCTTTGTCGAAAACCAATTCCCATCATTGTGTCTGGAGGGCCTGCGCACAGCAGGCCACGCGCCACCATCCCCGCCGTCCCTGTCAAAAACCACTTGACAGTGATCGCGGGGTGGCGAAGGTGAAGAGCTAGGGTGCATGGCATGAATCAGGACATCGGATGCCTGGGTCAGCGTCTCGCCTCCGACTCGCGCCCCTCTCGGGACCTCGCGCCCCTCTCAGGACGTGCTGCGCCTCTCGCGGACCTCCCTCCTGGCCGTGTCCGACGCAGGCGACGGCGTCGCCCGCCGTTGGGGTCGGGTTGACCCCAAAGGATGTCCAGCGACAAGGGGGTGGTGCACTAGATTCGGTGCAATCGATTTGTGGTGTTGCAATGCGTGCGGGGCGTGCAACACACTCTGGGGCGCAGATGTATTGCTGGTTTCTCGCGTGCAGTGCACATTTTTTTGCAATACACTGCAATACGCTTCCCTGGCGCAGTACCGGGAGGCTTTAATCAATGGAGTGGGCCGGCCTGGGCCATGTCTGAAATCAAAATTGAGCACTTGCCCGAATATGTGATTCTTCGTCTAGGCCGTTGGCCCGAGTGTAGTATTTTTGTCGTTGGCCCGCCCGATTTCCCATTTTACCCAGTCTTCGATCATTTTGTTTATTTCGATTTCAGCCTTCATTGATTTCGGCCTCCTGGTACATTTGCAGTACAATCTCCCCAGATCTTGTGCACCACCCCCTTTCAGCTAGACCCCCTTATTGGGTGTGCTTGAGCAGTGGCGGGTGAGCGAGGGGCTCCAGGGGACGGGGGTCAGCGCAACCGGGGGTCGGCCAGGGCGCCGGATCCTCCAGGATCCTGCGGAGCCAGGGCTGAGATGGGCGTGTCCCTCTGCAGGAGGAGTGCTCAAAAGTAGTCAAGACATAGGCTGGGGACGATTAGTTTTTGCACTTTTTTGCCGTTTTTGAATTTTTGTTTGATCTTTTTGATTTCTCGTCCAAAACCTCCCTGTAGGGCGCAGGACGCTGCAGGATGTTGCAGGATCCGCCCAATGCAGCAGTTCAGGATCAACGATAGGGGGATAGGCATAGGGTTGAATATCCAAAAACAGTGAAACATTGAGTCGGGGGACGATTTTTCTGACTCTTGTTTGACAATGTTTGAGCATGTTTTTGGTATTTGTTATTCGTCCTCCCAAATCCGCTTGTAATTAGGGGGACACGCCCGACATCAGCATAGGGGGGATGCACCGACCCTCAGTCGCCCATTGATCGCCGCTAGGCGGCAGCCCCCCCTATCGTTGCCCCTCAGCGGTGGGCAGGCGAAATGCGAAGTGTACAGGCAACGCGCAGTGTATGGACGCGAGCCTTTTCTAGGGTACCCTTTGGGTCCTTGCCTCTGCGGCCCCTCGCGGGTTAGGCTATTCTTGCGTCCCTGGGGTTTTGGTCGCCCGCCGCGCAACACATCCCAATTTCGGCCTCCAAGGGTCGTGCTTCCTTCCACCCGTCCTTGCCTTCCGCCCATCCCGCCACCGTGCCTGGGTTGTGGGTTTGAAGCTTATTGGATGTTCGTGGGGGGTTCGTGGGAGGCTTCTCGGGGGCCTCTTGGAGTCAGTTTGGACGGGTCGTTTGGGGGCTTCTTGGGGCCTTCTGGGGCCTCTTGAAGACTTTTTGGGGGCATGCTGGCGTTCTCGGGGACCCCCTTGGGGTGGAGGGTTCGAAATCTCAGCTCGAGTTCCCCATCTTGGGCCCATTCGGGGGCCCTCTTGGGGCTCTGTAGGGGCGTCTGGGCCGCCTCTTGCCAGGGGGGCCTGTCCGGGCCGTTTGGGAGCCCTCTTGGAGGCCTCTTGGGCCGTCTTGGGGCGGTTTTGGGGGCCTCTAGGGCCGCCTGCGAGCGTCGGGAAAGACGCCACAGTCTTCAAAAAACCAAAAAGGAAAAATCAAAGATTTTTGCCTCCTCGGCGCTCTCTTGGGAGTCCTCGAAGCTCTCTTGGGGCGTCTTGGCGGCTTCTTGGGCCGTCTGGGGGCCATTTCGGGCGTCCTGGGGCGATCTTTCGGCGTCTCGGGCTTCTCTTTGTCCGTCCTGGGGGCGTCTTGGGACCTCCTGGCCCGTCTTGGGGCCGTCGTGGGCCCGAACAAGTCCCGCGACGGGCCGCGACGAGCCCCAGGGGGCCAAGCCCGAGAGAGTCGCGAATTGGGACTCCGAGGCCCTTGTTTCAGATCCCATCAGGACTGAGGGCTCAAGCAGTGGCGAAGCGTCCTGGCTCGCCTATCCTCCTACCAAACAATGTTCTAAGAACCTTTTGTGGTTCCCACGAGATGTTCTTAGAACATGTCTGGCGGAGTCTTTCTGGTTTTAGCACATCGGGCTTGTGTTCTAAGAACATTGTTTTTGTTATTAGAACATTCTTGGGTTCTAAGAACATTTCGTGGCAGGACTATAGGACTGCCGGGACGGTCGGTCCCTGCTCAAGAGGACTGCAGCTCAGGGGATTGGGCAAAGGATGGGGGCCTCTCGCGCGCCGTATTGGGCGCCTCTTGCGCAGTGTTGGGGCCATCTTGGGCCGTCTGGGGGGCCCTCTTGGGGGCCTCCTGGAGCACTCGGGGGCCCCTCGGGCCGGCCAGGAGCGTCGGGGAAACCGCCCAACTTTGCCAAGCACAACAAGGAAGCTAACACTTCTGCCTCTTGGGAAGCCTCTTGGAAACCTCTTGGGGCATCTTGGGGGCATCTTCGGCCGTCTGGCTGTCATCTCGGGCCTCTGGAGCCGATCGTTCGACGATTCGGGGCTCTCTTCGGCCGTCTTTGGGGCCTCTTAGGATCCTCTTGGCCCGTACTGGGGCTCTCTTGGCGCCCCGAAAGCTCAGGCGACACCCAGGCGGTCGCAGGACCGCCGGGGATCGCTTGGGAAACAGAGGGTCCAGGCCTTTTAAGAACCGGTAGGAAACACAAGCCTTCTACCTCGCACAGCGACTACTTGCCGAAGGCAAGATGGCGGGTTCATTAGAAATGCAAGTTCATCCACAACGACAGCAAACAGCAATCAGGTTAAGTTTGTTCGTTCTTATCTGCGCGCGTATCAACATGGACAGCTCAAACCATCGATATCCGTTCACTTCGTCTTCGATCGCACCCCCCTTGGGGGTATACTTTCCTTACCCGGCACGTGTAGTTCGCAACCCCTGAAACATGGGAAGGGAGGGAGGAGGGTAGGGACCAGGGGAAGGGAGAAGGATGGAACATCAGATGGGGTTAGCCTCATGGGGGTTAGCAACAGGAAAGCAAGCTGCAGAACCAGTCGGGCGGGCGGACGCTGACGGCCAGGTCGAACGGGCGGGCCCAGACGGCTGGGTCCAGCGGGCGGGTCGTTGAAGCGTCAATCCAACATGAATCGCGAGGAGGTTGTGAGGACGTCCAGTGCGACAGTGTGATTCCTGAGCGTCGAGGGCGCGGCGCATCAATAGATTTGGAGGACGTCCCACGCGAAAGCGCGATTCCCGGATAAGTTGTCAAGATGTCCTCTCAGCGAGAGCGCTGAAGCGTCGGTCCTGCATGAACCGCGAGGACCTCTCCAGCGATAGCGCGGTTCCCAAGTAAAGTGTGCAGAGGGCCAAAGTTTCGAGGGCGCATAGGTTGCGCCAAGTCCCACTCGAGAGTGCGGCTGCCGGATTGGTTGTAGGGATGTCCCGCGCGAGAGCGCGATTGTGAATTGTGTGAGGAGGTGTTAGGGGGGGGGCTGCTGTTGATATAAACAGGGGCCCAGGGGCACAGTCCGAGCGGCATGAGGCCCCGTCGTAGAATACAGGGTGCGAGCTTCAGGAGGGACGCTTCAGATATGAAATCGTGCAACGTGCACCCGAGGAGGGCGAACCACGAATCCAAGGATCCTCACCGCAGACGCCCCTTCAGGCACGCACCCAGGGATGGTGTAAGACTGCTCGCCCCCCCACTGGTATCCATATCCACCGCCGCCTGGGTTCCCAGAATATCTGCTCCACAGGCGGTGTATACATGTATACATTCCCGCCCCGCACCGCCTCCGACGTAGGCGATGCCGCGCTTCGCCTCGACCTCCACGACCCACACCTGCTGCTGCGCACCTTGCAGGCGCCCGCCGGCGACAGCGACTACGACAACGACGACGCCGACGACGACGCCGACGACGACGACGACATCGCACCCTCGACAACGAACGCCTTGAAGAATTCTTGACGCTTCGCATATCCCCATCAGCCCATCCAGAAACAGATCGCGAGGCGAGTTGTCTTGATCAGTGAAGTGTAGAAGAGTGCAGTGTGACATTCGCCCTGGAAGCGTTTTCTCACAGGTTTCTTGGACCTATCTTGGGGCTCTCTTGGAGTCCTCGCGGAGCCTCTCGGAGCACCCTTGAGGCCCTCCTGGGGCTCTCTTGTGGCCTTCTTGGGGGCTTCTTAGGGCTCGAGGGGGGGGTCTGGGAGGCCTCTTGGGGCCATCGTGGCCCCTATGACTCTAAGAGAGGGGTGGTAGTGGCGTGTTGAGGCCCTCTTGGGGCGCTCTTGGGGCGCTATTGAGCGCTCCTGGGACTGCTTTGGGGCTTTCTTGAGCTCTTCTTGGGGCTCTCTTGGGCCATCTTGGGGCCATCCTGATGCATCAAGAGCCCATCGGAAGCGAAAAGGCGAGAAGGCAATCTACATTGATTGTCCTATGGTATTGGAGCCATGTTGGAACCTTGGGGGGGTCCATGGAGGGCTCGAAGGGCACTTGAAACCGTTCCGGGGTCGTCTTGAGGCCTCTTAGATGTGTGTCGGAGGCTATCTTGTCCCATCCTGAGCTATCTGGAGCAATATTGTTCGTCAACGACGACGCCGATGACGCCGACGCCGACGCCAACGCCGACGCCGACGACGAGGACGACGACGACGACGACGACGACGACGCAGCCTTGAAAACGAACGCCTTGAAGAACTCTAGACGGAAGTTGTTGGCCGTGTTCGCCCTCTGGGAGCCCTCAGTGGACCTTATCGAGTATGAAAATTGGCCTTGAGCAACGGGTCGGGACTCCAGGGGACCCCACGTATCCACAGGTCAGTCGGTTCGGCTGTGTCGCAGATGGTTACGTTCGGTCGGTTCGGTGTCGGCCTGCTATCGTATCGTTGCTGCGCCGCTTCGCCCTGCAAGCCCGGTTGCGGCCGGTTGGCGCCCCTGTCGGATTCGGTGTCGTTATCGGTTCGACCGGTGTTCGGTTCTGTCGCCGCGGACGACCTTGGGTGAGGAAAACAAGTATTATGAGGAGAAGAACGAGGACGACGCCGACGTGGCGTGAGGAGGCACAGGAGTGATAAGTGTACTTGTAGGAGGAGGTCTGGGTGAGCGAAGACATTTAAAGAAAGGGAAGCAACGACGACCTGGAAGAGTGCGGATGGGGGAGGGGGTGGATTGAGACAGAGCGGCATGAACACTTCCGAGAGCGGCTTTCCGCGCGGACTTCTGAGTGCTTCTGTTTATGCTTATGCCGTTATTTCTTCCTCCAAGGGAGGGATGGGGAGGTTCCAGCGACGCCCCCCCCCCTCCTGCTCCTGCCTGGGGTGGGGCCCTCAGACGACCCGTTTCCTGACTGCCTTACGGCCTATGCGGCCGACCCTGAAGGGGGACGACGACGGCGACGACGAAACACACCCCTTTTTCCACAAACTGTTGGGAACAAGACATTGATTTGCCCTCTTGAGGTTGTCTTGGGCGTGCTTCTCAGGGGCTCTCCTGGGCGGGGTGCGGTCTTGATTGTCGGCTCCCCGTCTGCGGGCGCTCCTGGTTGCCCGCAGCCTTCCGGCCGCTGCTCCATCCGGCGGCGGAATCCGAACCCTGCTATCAAGTCGGGCGCGTCCCTCTACACGAGGAATGTTCAAAAATAGTGGAAAAATAATATGGGGACGATGTTTGTTTTGAGTATGTTTTGACTATGTGGGGGTATTTGGGGGGTTATTCTTAATTTTCCGTTCAAGATCCGCCTGTAGGGGGACATGCCCGACCTAACCCTAATACCCTCGCCGATCAACGGTTCAGGCAACTCGATGGGTGGCGGGGTTAGGCATCAGAATTCGTCGGACACGTGGCGAGACTGAACCCTACCACGCTGCCCATCGATTCAGGACAATCGCTGGTTGGCGGGGGATTTGGATGTCGCCACTTGGTTGCCCGCAGCCTTCCGCTGCGCCTTCCCACCTCCTCGGCGCGGCGTGGTCAGCGTGGGGGGATATCGCTGCGGGGCCGTGCGGGCGTCTGGCTCGTTCTTCCCGCTGCTCGGCTGCGCACGCGGGATTCTGCGCCACGGACGAAGCGCGTGCTGATGGAATTTCCTCCTCCGCCTTTTATTCCTTCTTCTACTCGTATCGCTCATCCTCTCCTCCTCCTTCTCCTCCTCTTATTCCTCCTCCTCCTCCTCCTCCTCCTCCTCCTCTTATTCTTCCTCCTCCTCCCAGTGCCGCCAGTCCCCACTCTCTCCCTCGCCATTCAGGGAACGGGCCCTGAGGGAAACGAGTTCTCTGGTAGCAAATCTTGGGAGACATGTGTGCCCTCTGAGAGTGCCCTCTGATTCCGTCGTTTGAGTGCACTAACGTCGATCAGAGTTTGGTAATCGATGGGATGGTGCCGATCGCGCCGATGTAGTCGAGTAGCGTCGATTTGGTGTCGATCCGCGCCAATTCGTAAGAGCCACAGGACGGCATGGGAGACTCCCATGCGCTGCTAGCCAGGGCTCGAGCGACACGGTGGCTTGCCAATTTCGTGGACCGTTTCCGTTCATATGTCGTTTTGCAGCAAGGGCGGAACGAAGACAGGACGTGGGATCACGAAAACAGCAGGACAACGGATCACATCGTTCAGCTCGAGCCCTGCTGCTACCGAAGGGTCCGAAGGTTTGTTGCTACTGTCGGGCTTCAGGGGCCCTCCACGGGCCCCGGGACCGTCGGAAAAAAAACAGCTCGGGATGAGGAGCTGGTGTTGGGAGAAGGCCCGGAGTCCAGATGCAACAGAAGCCGTTTGCTTCCCCCGCTTCCTCACATTGCAAAGGCCCACCCCCCAGGACCTCCCGGGGCCCCCTGGGACCCCACCTCTCCCCAGGCGGCGAAGGGATCAAAGGGAAGGGGCATTCCTCGCGACTCGATGACGACGCTTATCGATTTCCTAAAGAGCGGTGTCCCTCAGGAAGGGGGTCACAACCCCCCGCCCACCCCCCGGGGCGGGAGAGGGATGTGGCCAAGGGATTGTCAGGGGCAACGATAGGGGGGGATAGGCATAGGGGGGGATGGATCGACTCCCAACCGCCCACTGATCGACAGGAGCCTCGTTGGCCCCAACCTGCCCAGGAAGGTGCGGATTCACTATCGAGGGCCTATCGCCGATCTATCGACGATGTATCGCCGATTCCACGTCGATGCATCCCCCCTATGCCAGTCCCCCCCTATCGATGCCCCCCAGGTTGCCTCCGGCACCAGAATTCGAGATCGTCCTCCCCCGACGGAAGCAGACCCTTGCGCTGGTATCGGTGTTATTTTTCCAGGCCCCCAGCATCAGGAGTAATTGTAGGGGAGGACATGTCGAAGGGGGGACGCATCAACCCCCAATCGCCCGTCGGTCGCCGCTAGGGTCCCGATGGCCCACCCCGCCCAGAAGCGTGCGGTTTCGCGTTCGGGGATATGTCACCGATCTATCGGCGATGGCTCGCCGATTTCAGCTGGATGTTTCTCCCCTGAGCGGACCCCCCCTAACATTTCGAATAGCGGATCGACTACAGAATTGATGTACTTTAACACTGATTTTTCTCGCCGAAGCCATGTTACAACAACATTCGTATAATGGTCGTAGAACGAACAGTCGACGCTTCATGTCAGGACGAGAAACTCAGCTTGGGGGTAAATCAATTCTGTAGTCGATCCCCTACTCGGACATTCCCCCTCATCCCTTCTATTCCTGTCCGCCCGTTCTCCTGTCTTCCTCCTCCTCAGGAGGAAGGATGAGCAGGGGGAGCAAGACAGGGGGACGAGAGGAGGCGCAAGACATGAGGACGCTCCCCAAATTTCCCCTTCTCATGCCTTGCTCCTCCTGCTCATCGGAGCCTTCTCCAGAGCTTCCTCCAGAGGTTTCAAGACCAGCCACGGCTTGAGCGCCGACGAGGATGTCCCAAGGGGGTCCCGCACGACCCCAAGAGTCACTAAAGCCCAATGTTACCCCAAGGCGGCCTCGAAGTAGCGGGATCTCCAAAACATGCTTCAAGAGGATCGCATATTTTCGGAGAACTGCTTCAAGAAGACTCCAAGAGAAGAGAGCCGAAGAAAACATCTGGAGGAGGCCCACACGGCCCTCGAGGGCTCCACCAAGACGGCCCCAAGATGTCCCAGGATTGCTCCAGGAGATGGCCCCGAGAGACGAGAGCCCGTGACGGCCGCCCAGGGCCCAAGCGCGGCCCAAGGGTGGCTTGCAAGCGCTCACATGTGTCCCGAGAAGACTTTTGGGCGCGGGGGGGGGCGGTCCCCGGCTTGCACAGGCGAGGCTTGGCGTTTTCCTTTTCAGTCTGGACCACTGCTGTGCCCACGTGTGCACAGCTTGCTGTGCCCTGCTGGATGTAACGGGAGGCCATCCAACATTGAGCCGGCAATGCAGCCAATAGAGGAGCATGCGTCTAGAAGTGGATCGATTGCGCTTTTTGCCTACAGGGATGCAACGCAGGGCATTACACACACACACACACATGCAGTGATTTCTTGACAGTCTGCCCGTGAGTCCTGCTCTTCCGTGGGACCTCGCGAGGGCCTTTTGCCTTTTCAACGAGGTGGTCTACACTTACGGGATCTCCTTGTGCAGCGCCCCCCGTGACTTGCACTCCTGTAGGCTTTCCAGGATGTAGACCTCACGCTCAGGTCCCAGGCGTCGGGAGACGTTGCCACCCTCGGAGCGGGAGCAAGGTGCAGGCAAGGTGTATATCCATGTCCATTGCATCTTGGAGTTTCGGGTTCCTGGCGTCCCTTCCCAGAAAGTCCAAGACGCAGTGGATAAGGGGATACACGTGTATGTATATAGTTGTGTATCCATATGTCTATCGGTATATATACATAGTATACAATTCAGTATGTACA